GCACGGAAAGCCGGAAAACTCTTGAACAAAAGCTCATCTTTCAAACCGGCAGTCTAAATCCCACAGGTATCAACGAACGCTTTTCATTCCACTAATTTATTCGTGTTTTTCTCGTTGCCATGTTCCCACCAATCATGTAGCTCCTTTTCTGCCCTTAAAAGCACACACAACCCACAATTCTTCTATTCGCTCCGACGAATGGCTAACGCTCGAAACGTCAGCTTTTATAATCGTAATGGTGGCCAATTTACCATTTCAACTTTGTTGATATTTTCAAATTAATTCGTTACCTCCACCGACACAGCCCCAAACAGTTTCTTTAGAAACTATCAATCTTTATTCAAACGTAAAACTATTTTGTTCCCACATAAACGCTTAGTTCCCTTCTTACACTTTTCATTCTTTTGAACTGATTAAAAGATTAGTATTCCTGTGTGAGTGATAACTTTATTTGATATCTCCTCTGTATTGCTCTAAACAGTTCCGTATATTAAAGGGTAAAGTTGAGATGTAATGGTCAGTACGTCCACAAGACGGTGACTGTTTAACATTTACATAATACTGAAAGTAAACTGTATAATTACAATTACTAAAAACTAGATCATTGGATAATGCAATTCAAGACTTTTTATTGCGTTGGCCATTATGGTATATCAGCCAATATATCACAATCTACAAATATGGTAAGCGTACGTGTCAGCTTAAAATTAAAAGAGAGCTAAAAATTTAAGAAAATTTAATAATTTAATTTAACGTTTTTTATAAAACAATTATTCCACTCGCGTTTGTTGGATATGAGATGGTTATAGCCAACAAGGCGCTACGCGCCTCGTTGGCTATCTATCATCTCATATCCAACGCGCGCTCGTGGAATAATTGTTAAATATACACTGTACAATGTATACACACAGAGGTTTGTGATCATGCTGGAACGAACAATGCATATTCCAGACACATTTCTGCAACGTACTGAAAAAGGTAATTGAGACTGAGTCTTGACCAAGTACACACTTCTTTTGTGTCCCTCCTCTTGACTCAAAAATTGAGTCAGTGTTCTAGGACCCATATATTTTCAGCTTTTTTGATATGCACATGTATATGCGAATGATCTTCATAGAAACCTACCTTGTCAACATTGGTTTCTTGGTAGGTGACAGTAGTGATACCATCCATTGATGACTGGATCTTGTAGTTTGTTGTCCACTCGCCTATACCATTAGCTCCTTGGGTGGCTACAGCACAGATAACGTACTCATACAGCAGGTCAATTTGTAAGTAGTCAGCAGAATTGGTCGCAGTCTTGGGTCCCCATCCCCGATTAGCTCCATTCAATCGACCAAAAGAGGGTTTATACCTATTGTCATAATACGATGAGGCAGAGAAGCTGCTGTCTGGAATTGTAGCGCTAGAGGCCAAGCCAATGGCTCTCGATTCACATGCTGTAAGGCAATAATTTAAACTCAGTCTTCATAGTTTTATACAAACTGTAAACATCGTAGCGCCATTGCTTACAGTTGACATGATCACAAGCGCTTTACTGGCTAGTTCTGACAAACCAGAAGAAATAGC